CTCTACCACTTGAGCCACAGCGCCACTTCCGGTTTTCTGAGTGGTGTTTTGGAGCTGAGTCTCACGGACTTTCTTGTACTGGCTCGCTTTGAACTAGGATCCTCAGATCTCAGCCTCCTGAGTACCTAGGATTACAGGCGTGAGCCACCAGCGCCCAGCTTTCACTTAAGTGTGTATGTCAAGGTCCTTCAAATCAATACCTTTTAACTCAAATGCCATTTTCCCCTGTTTAATATGTAAGCTGCCTTGGAAATAGAGCTAAAAGGACAACTTCGGCATTCTTTATTATAATCACAAAGGCTTAGTGACACCTACAATGTGTTAGCCTCAATTAGCATCCTAAAGTGCTATATGCCATAAGGAATAACTATATTTGATCTCCTTGTTGCTTTAATTGGAAATTTAAAGGGTTTTTGTGTCAAAGACTAATATGATCTCTAGATCATGGTTCAAAGCCAGCCTGGGTAGAAAAATCCTTGAGACTCCATCTCCCAATTAACCAGCGAAGAACCAGATTGCAAGCACAGTGCAAAATTTTGGAAGTAGGTCCTGAGGCAGAATTCTGGAAGTAGGTGCTGTGGCAGCATTCTGGAATGGTACTGCAGCTCCAAGTAGTAGAGTACTAGCCTTGAGCAGAAGTGCTCAGGGACAGTGCCCAGACTTTGAGTTCAAACTCTGTGAATGGCAAAAGAAATGCCAACTGGGAAAAGCCATCCCAGCAACAAGCACCTAGATCCCCAGAATAAAGACTAGTCCTGGAGTAAGAGGAGATAATGTCACATCCTAAATGGAGTCACCCTTCCAAAATTAACCAGAGCCAGGAGATCAAAAGAAAATAGTTGGGCTGGGAAGGTGGCTCAGTGGTAGAGTGCTTGCCTTGCATGCATGAGGTCCTGGGTTTGATTCCTCAGCACCACATAAGCAGAAAAAGCCAGAAGTGGCGCTGTGGCTCAAGTGGTAGAGCACCAGCCTTGAGCTGAAGAGCTGAGGGACAGTGCGTAGGCCCACAGTTTAGGCCCCATTACTGACAAAAAATAAATAGTTAATAAGCTTGCCCATCTAATGTCCATGCTTGCCTACCCTCTAACTAGACAGGAACTTACATTCTTACCTTTGTTACTTGCTATTTACAGGAAATGATCAAGGCCTCTCACTGGACCCTTAACCACTCTAAATCAATATGGACTCATGCTCCAAATAGAACTTTTCTGGCTTGTGCTCAGGATGTGTTTTCCTGTCATTCATATCAACCATCCTGCCACCTTGTCAGCCTTTCACCTGATCTCACGTTTTTCAAAGGTTTCTCTTTAACAGTATAACAGCTCTCACTCAAAACACAACCTGGGAGCAAATCAAGGCCATCCTATTACTGCAGGCAACCGGAGGACTCGCCTGCACTGCCCTGCCCAGCACAGACCTAGACCCTGAAGACCCCAGCCCCAGTGACTCCTGGACGCACCCATGTCAGCAAGAAGTAGCCAAAAAGACAACTTTGGTGGGGGGGGAGGGAAGACCTTTCTTCAGCCTCCCCTTTGGGCCCAACTTTTTTTTTTCCTGAGGCTTGGGCACTGTCCTGACAGCATCACTTCTGGTTTTCTGGTGGTTTTAACTGGAGATAAAGAGTCTCATGAACTTTCTGCTTGGGCTGGCTTTGAACTGCGATCCTCAGATTTCAGCCTCTTGAGTAGCCACTGGTTCCAGGCTCCAACTTTTAATGTATCCAAAGACGCTATATGAAAGACTTGCCTCTCTCCCCTCGGCCCAGTCTTTTTTATATATCTAAAGATGAAATATGAAGGATTGTTTCCTGACTTATTCCCCCAGGTCAAGCAAGACACCAGGAGCACACCAACAGGCTTGACCACATGCCTGGCCGCAGGCAGGTTATTCTGACCTAGGCTGGGCCACCAGTCCCCCTCACCCCAGGCAGAGCCTAGGCCTGGCCAAGGACAGCGCCCTGGGCCGCCAAGAGACCATGTCCCTTTTATTATTTTATTTTTTTCTTTCTAGCTGGTGCTGGTGGCTCATGCCTGTAATCCTAGCTACTCAGGAGGATTGTAGTTCAAAGCCAGCTCGGGTAGGAAAGTCCACGAGACTCTTATGTCCAATAAACCACCAGAAAACCGGAAGTGGCACTGTGGCTCAATTGGTAGAGCATTTGCCTTGAGCTGAAGAGCTGAAGGACAGCGCCCAAGCCCAGAGTTCAAGCCCCACAACCAATAACAAAAAATCTGCTTCCTTGTTCAGCCCTATACAAAGCCCACCCCCAAATCCAGTCTCTTGCACAACCTCTGAGTATGTGGGAAGGTCTGTGCCCCTCACTGGCAATGAGCGGCCCTAGTCTGTTGACAATTGAGTCTAGCCTATTCCTTTTCCATTCTCCTCCATTTTCCTAAGGATAAGCAGCTCAGGCACGAGTCCAACTGACAATCCTCCTGTCTCAGCCACCTGCATGCTGGGGTCACAGATTTGTACCACCACAACTGGCTCTGGGACATGAAGTTTGACTAGGACTCAGCCTAGTACTACTTGACTTTTTCTTTCATCCTCTCCTACATCTCAGACAAATCTGTGTCATGTATGTGGGACGTGTGTGTGTGTGTGTGTGTAAATGGGGCTTGAACTCAGGTCTGGGGACTGTCCTTAGCTTTTTTCACTCAAATCTGGTGCTCAATCAGTTGAGCCACACATCTACTTCTGGCTTCTTTTTTTCTTTCTTTTGGTCCTTGGGCCTGGGCGCTGTCCCTGAGCTCTTCAGCTTCACTTGAGCCACAGCGCCACTTCCGGCTTTTTCTGCCTATGTGGTGCTGAGGAATCGAACCCAGGGCCTCATGCATGCAAGGCAAGCACTCTACCATTGAGCCACCTTCCCAGCCCCTTCCTTCTTTCTTTTCTTTCTTTTTTTGGTCATGGGGCTTGAACTCGGCCTGGGCACTAGCTAGCTCCACCACTTTGAGCCACAGCACCACTTCCGGCTTTCTGGTGGTTAACCAGAGATAAGAGTCTCATAGACTTTCCGGCCCTCCGTCTTCCTCTGGAGCAGCGAAGATTACAAGCATGAGCCACCAGCACAGCCCAGGCTGGTCTGGAACCCAGCCCCTCCGCCTCAGCCTCCCGGGGGCTGGGATTACAGGCAGCCGCCACGGCGCGGGGCTGACTTGATTATTAACGTCACAGAGGAGGGAACAAAGGCTACCCAGCCTGATCTTGGACGCAGCGCGGAGCCAGCCGGAAAAAAATAAACACAAAAAACCCATAGGGCTCGATGGCCTGGTCGGGTCCCACGGAGCCCACGGGTAGCACAGATCAGTCACACCGGCCCCACGGGTCTCAGATTTCTGGTCGGCTCTTCCTGTTATTCTAAAAACTGCAGCCGGAGAGGAGAGTGGAGCGGAAACTACAACTTCCGAGAGCCCTTGCGGCCAAGGACCGCGATGTCTACCTAGGCGAGGTTTCCCGAAGCCAAGCTCCGCCTTGTTGCCCTTAGCACTGCCTTCCCAAATATTGCTACATTTAGGCGTTCTCTGGGACAGCCTTCCGCGGAGCGGAGTAAAAGGAACTAACCCGGCGTTCGGCGCAGGCGCAGTACCTACGGGTCCTGACTGGCGCATGCGTGGTTGCTAAACCTGGCAGCAACATGGACGACGAGGAGGAAACCTATCGGCTGTGGAAGATCCGCAAGACTATCATGCAGGCAAGCAGGGAAATCCGGCCGTAGCCCTCGTGGCGCGTCTCCTTCCCCCGGGTGTGGCCGTCACTGCGAGTCCCCGTTCCCCGGGCGAGCCGTGGTTGTGGGTGCCCCTCTCCCTGGCCTAGCCGTATCTGAGTCCCCCCTCGGGCTCAGCCGCGGCGGGGTCGCTCCTGCGGGCGCAGTGTGGGTGACACCCGGCCCGGAAACTATCCGCAGCCCGGCCTGGCCTTTTTATGCGTGTGCCAGTCCTGGGGCTTGAACTCAGGGCCTAGGTGCTATCTTTTGTGGGGTGTTTTTGCTTAAGATTGGTGCTCTTCCACTTGAGCCACAACTACTCTTCTGGATTTTTTTTTCTTCTGGTTAATATGGAGTCTGCTTGGGCAGGCTTCAAACCATGATTCTGAGATCTCAGCCTCTTGAGAAGCTAGGATTACAAGCATGCGCCACTGTACCCGATTCCCATTCTTTTTGTCCTGTGTGTGCGCGCACCAATACCAGGACTTGAACTCAGGGCCTTATGTTCGCTTACAGCTGGTGTTCTTCCAGCTCAATTTTTTTTTTTTTTGCCAGTCCTGGGGCTTGAGCTTGGCCTGGGTACTGTCCCTGAGCTGCTTTTGCTCAAGGCTAGTGCTTTATCACTTGAGCCACAGCACCACTTCTGTGGTCTTATGTGGTACTGAGGAATCAAACCCAGGGTTTCTTTCATGGTAGGCAAGCACTTTCCTACTGAGCCACATTCCCAGCCCTCAGCCCAGTATTTTTGCTTGTTAATTGGAGATATAGTTTCTTGGCCGCCAGGTGGCTTAAGCCTGTAATCCTAGCTACTTGAGAGGATTTAGGATCACAGTTCAAAGCCAGTCCAGGCAGAAAAGTATCCCTGAGACTTATCTCCAATTAACCACTCAAAAACCACAGGTGGTGCGTGGCTCAAGTGGTAGAGCACTAGCCTTGAGCACAAAGAGGCTTAGGGGCAGCACTCAAGCCCTGAGTTCAAGCCCCACAACTGGAAAAAATAGTCTCTTGGCCTTTTCTGCCCAGACTGGCTTCAGACCTGAATTGTTGAGTAGATAGGATTATAAGTGTGAGCCACCAGGCTCAGCATCTTTTCTGAGTAAAGTACCCACCAGCCTGATAGTCTCTCTGTACCCTCACACTAGCCAGAAGTTACAGCTCTCTCCATCTCTGTCTTTGGAGTCACTTTGCAGAGCAGCAAAGGATTGGCTATCACTACTTGGTATACGTATAGTCCCAGACAACTGTGGGGATAGGTGATCTTTGTCAGGATTGAGGACTTTGGGGCTATTAGTCTCACCCTGTGGGTGATGAGATGGTGGCTCAGTCATTTGGCCCATAATCTGTGCTCTGTGACCTCTCTATCTTAACACTCAGCAGCTAGCATCACTCAGGCTGTGCTTCAGCCATATTGACCTTCAGGATTTGTTGACTGCAGAGGTGGCTTGCTTGCTTGGGCTCCTCCTTCTGCCAAGGTCAGCTGGTTGTTTCTCTCTGCAGCTGTGCCACGATCGAGGCTACCTAGTGACCCAGGATGAACTGGACCAGACACTGGAGGAGTTCAAAGCCCAGTTTGGGGACAAACCAAGCGAAGGGCGGCCACGGCGCACTGACCTTACTGTCCTGGTAGCCCACAATGATGACCCTACTGACCAGATGTTTGTCTTCTTCCCAGGTGAGGCACCTTGGTGGTCCTGGTCGGTGACAGTAATTTTTCCCTGAAGGTGTTATAGTTCTCATGGTCCATCTCCACAGATGAGCATATCACAGGCCCAGATCCCTAGTAACCGACCTGTGATTTCAGGACCTACTTCTTGGCCTGGCGATTTGGCTTTATCCCTTTCCTCTTGCACCTGCCTCCAGAGCCCTGGCAGTTCCTCCCTCCTTGCTTTGCCAGCCTTTGCTCCTTCAGCATTGGCTTCAGATGCTTCTTCCAGGAACAGCACTCAGTCTCGTCAGGACCCCTAGTTCCTGTCTTGTTACTTACTCAGCAGTGCTGCCCTTCTCCCCACTCTACCCCCTTTCCTGTCTCACTGTAATGCCCTGGAAGGTCGGAGGCGTGACTCGGTGTTTGGAATGAAGGGAATGGGCAGGCAATAACATACTGAATGGTTTCAGGTAACCCTTTGCAAGGGGTCCTCTGTGTCTGAATTGTTTATTGGAAGAGACTGGTGCACAGTTGCTTGCCTCCGTATTGAGTTTGGTCTCGAGACAGTGGGACATCACTGCTATCTGGTATACCGTAGTGCAGGGTTGAGGCTCAAATACTAGACTTTTTTCTCAAAGTCCTGAAGGCCCAAATCAAGGTATCAATACAGCTGGTTGCTCCAGAGCCTTCTTTGCTAATAAGTGGCTTCTCCCTATGTCATTTGGACTGTATCTATGTACTGGACATCAGTCTGTGCAGTAGGACACTAATCTTCCCTGTACCTTTTTTCTTTTTTTTGTCAGTCCTGGGGCTTGAATTCAGGGTCTGGGCACTGTCCCTGAGCTACTTTTGCTCAAGGCTAGCACTAGCACTTGAGCCACAGTGCCACTTCTGGCTTTTTCTGTGTATGTGATACTGAGGAGTTGAACCCAAGGCTTCATGTAAGCACTCTACCACTAAGTCACATTCCCAGCCCTCTTCCCTGTATTTTAATTACCTTAAAATTTCCTGTTCAGCCGGGCACTGGTGGCTCACGCCTGTAATCCTAGCTACTCAGGAGGCTGAGATCTGAGGATCACGGTTCAAAGCCAGCCCGGGCAGGAGAGACTGTGAGACTCCTATCTCCAATAAACCACCAGAAAAGCGGAAGTGGCGCTGTAGCTCAAGTGGTAGAGCGCTCGCCTTGAGCTGAAGAGCTGAGGGACAGCGCCCAGGCCCAGAGTTCAAGCCCCATGACCGACAAAAAAAAAAAAAAAAAAAATTTCTGTTCAAAGCCTGTAATCCTAGCTACTCAGGAGGCTGAGACACAAGGATTGCAGTCAAAGTCAAAGTCAGCCCGGGATAGAAAAGTTCCTGAGATTTTTTTTTTTCCCCCTGTGGTGGGGCTTGAACTCTGGGTCTGGGCACTGTCCCTGATCTCTTCAGCTCAAGGCAAGCACTCTACCACTTGAGCCACAGTGCCACTTCTGGTTTTCTGGTAGGTTAATTGGCGATAAGAGTCTCACGGACTTTCCTGCTCAGGCTGGCTTTGAGTTGCAATCCTCAGATCTCAGCCTCCTGAGTAGCTAGGATTATAGGCGTAAGCCACCAGTGCCCAGCTGAGACTTTTTTTTTTTTGATCGGTCATGGGGCTTGAACCCTGTGCCTGGGTGCTGTCCCCTAGCTCTTCAGTTCAAGGAGAGCACACTACCACTAGAGCTACAGCGCAACTTCTGGTTTTCTGAGTAGTTTTTTTTTTTTTTTATTGGAGATAAGAGTCTTGCAGACTTTCTTGCTTCTTGCCTGGGCTGGCTTTGAACTGTGATCCTCAGATCTCAGCCTCCTGAGTAGCTAGGATTACAGGCGTGAGCCACCGCCCTGCCCAGCTGAGGCTTTTTTTATCTCTGGTTTTCCCACAAAAAGATGAAAGTGGAGGTATGGCTCAAGTGGTAGAGTGCTAGGCAACTTTAAGGGGAAAAACCAAGCAAGGGTGTGAGTTCAAGCCCTAGTACTGGCCTCAAAAAACAAACAGAAAGTTTTTCTTTTCAAACAATGCCATTGTGATGTGGGATTCAGGGTTTACTGTGTGTGAGAACTTAGAGAGCACAGTCTGACATAATGCCCCTACCTGAGGAGAGTTACTGTGAGCAAGCAGACATGTTCATCATGAAAACAGCCCTGCTTGGAGTCTACATTAGCACATTAATTCTTTTTTTTTTTTGGTTGGTCATGGGGCTTGAACTCTGGGCTTGGGCACTGTCTCTGTGCTCTTCAGCTCAAGGTGAGTGCTCTACTGCTTGAGACACAGCTCCACTTCCAGTTTTCTAGTGGTTTATTGGAGATAAGAGTCTCATGGACTTTCTTGCTGGGGCTGGCTTTGAACAATGATCCTCAGATCTCAGCCTCCTGAGTAGCTAGGATTACAGGCATGAGCCACTGGTGCCCGGCAGCACATTAATTTTTATGCTCCTGGGTGACCTGCCCTGTGCCCTATCTGAGGGCAGTGCAGAAACCAGTGGCCCTTTTCACCCTGGTCACTCAGCCAGCTTTCATCTCAATGTGAGCAGCTGGCCATTCTCTCTTAGGTTCTTAGGAGTCAGTGAGACATGACTCAGATGACTCCCAAGACTCAAACACTTGGGGCCCCAAGATCCAGGACAGGAACCTGAAGGCCAGGGGAACTCAGCTCCCTTTGGCTTGCTAGTGCTGAGGCAGCCAATCCCTGACGGCTTTTTCAGCTCAAGTGTTGCCTGGTGAATGGGGAAACTGACTCCAATGAAGACTAGCCAGTCCGAAAGCAGGCTAGAACCAACCTGGGGCGGGGCAGGGCGGGGTGGGGGTGGAGGGGGACAGCAACCTCAGGTGCTTGTGTCCCCAGAGGAGCCCAAGGTCGGGATCAAGACCATCAAGGTGTACTGCCAGCGCATGCAGGAGGAGAACATCACACGGGCGCTCATCGTGGTGCAGCAGGGGATGACGCCCTCTGCCAAGCAGGTGGGTGAGGGACAAGTTTGGTGGAGGGCTGGAGGGAGGTGACCGGTATTCACAGGGGCCCAGCTACAGCCTGTGTACCTCGGCCCCTGTGCCTCACTTCCTTTCCCCTTTCCTCATTCCAGGCTTCTCATGAGGCCGTTTCATCTTGGCTATTTATTGCCCTTCCAATTGGAGGGGGGCTGGGGTGGCAGGTGCCATACCCTTCAGCCCCTGAGTGTTGGTGTGGTAGGGGCACTCAGAGGCTCTCTGTCTGGTAGGCCTCTGAGCTGTTGCTCTGCCTGGGTGGGGTGGGACTCTGCAGGGGCCCCGCAGTCCCACACTGGCTTGGTCAGGAGAAGGACCAAGGCCTGGGATCCCCAGGGAGGCCTCTGCAGTGTGTGACATTGGGATAGAACTTAGCCCAGAAGGCTTGTGGGGTGGCAAGCATTTCTGTCCTTGGCCAGCCTGGACTGTGGTGTTCATGTGGTCACAGGAAGGCACATCTTTATTGGGGAGAGGGTCATCATATCTCAGGGTGACTTGACCAGCAGAAGGCATCACACGGGTTGCCTGGAATACTGGTCTGGGCAGTGATGAGGTGGGTGGGAGGAGGAACAGACAGGAGGGGACTTAACTCAAGCACCATGGCCAGGCTCCGTGTGACCAGTTTGTATGTTGCAGTCTCTGGTGGACATGGCTCCCAAGTACATCCTGGAGCAGTTCTTACAGCAGGAGCTGCTCATCAACATCACGGAGCATGAGGTGGGCAGGGCTGCTGGGGAGGGGTGGGGCGAGGGGACTAGAGCAGGTTCCCACCTGCTGCAGAACAAGAGATGGGTTGGGGGCAGAATCTGTGCTTGGGTTGCAGTATTCATCCCACAGAACCCCTTAGGTGATTTCCTGGCCCCTTCCACCTCCCTTTTGCCCCCACCATCTCCCTGGGGTCCCAGTGTAGTCTGTTTCCATCCCCCACTGATGACTAGGGGCTTGCTTTCTCCACAGCTGGTCCCGGAGCACGTGGTCATGACCAAGGAGGAGGTGACAGAACTTCTGGCTCGATAGTATCCTTTATCAGGTCCTCCTGTGTACAGCCCCCTCCCACTCTGTCCTTGGAGCCCCTTAAATCCCACCTCCACCAAAACTCCTGCCTGGCTTTTCCCTGACTGCCTTCCAGTAAACTTCGAGAAAACCAGCTGCCCAGGATCCAGGCTGGGGACCCTGTGGCCCGCTACTTTGGGATAAAGCGAGGGCAGGTGAGGCCCCACTGCTCTGCACCTGCCTACAGAGGTCGGGACTTTGTTCCCATACCCTTGAGGCCTGGAAGAGCCTTGGGACCCAACTCTTCACTTACAGCACAGCAGAAGGCTGCTAGGAGCTGGCACCTGGGCCATATGCCCCGCCCACTGTTGGCATGACCACAAGAGGCCTGCTGCTGCAACTCTGCGCATTCTTCCACAGGTGGTGAAGATCATCCGGCCCAGCGAGACAGCAGGCAGGTACATCACTTACCGCCTGGTGCAGTAGCGGCGCCCCATCAGGTGAGACGTGAGGTCACAGGCGGGCTGGAGGTGGCCGTCTTCTCCATACTGGCCTCAGGCAGGTTTCAGCTCTGTCCTTGGAAGGGATCCATCTGTCACTCAACCCAGCCAGGATTCTGAGTGGGGCCTGCACGCTGCAGCTCCTGCTTATGCCCCGCCCCCCTTCCAGGAACTCAGGTCCCTGACATGCAGGGTGTCCCTACCTTCACTCATGTCTAGGTTAGAAGTAGGAGCTGAGCTGAGTGCTGGTGATTCATGCCTGTAATCCTAGCTCCTCAGGAGGCTGAGATCTGAGGGTGGCAGTTCAAAGCCAGCCCAGACAGGAAGGTTCATGGGACCTTGTCTTCAATTAATGACCAAAAAAGATGTGAACCAAGTTCAAGCTCCATTATTGCACACAAAAAAAAACAAGAGCTGTCATTCACGTGGCAGGGGACTGAACCCCCTCACCTCCATCTGGGCCTGTAGGAAGGAGACTTGAAACCCCACTCCTGGGTGGACGCAGAGTTAGGAAAGCAGCATGTGTGCCAATGAGAGCCTCCCCTGCCCCTGGCAGGCTGTCCTCTTTGGCTCTGACTAGATGCAGCTGTGGTCCCTATGTCTGGGTGACCTGGTGGTTGCTGGGTTCCAGCCTCTGAGTTCAGGGGCTGCCCTATAGTTACATGGTCTGGGCACGTGTGCCTGCCCTGTGCCTGGCTCATGTGTCATTTTACTCCTCTTGCCCAGCCTCCAAAATGGATGGGACAGATGGATGTGAGCTCTGTCTCCTCCAAGATGGATGCCCCCACCTGCTCTGGAGGGATCTGCCTGCACCTCCCTCCCATCGTGGCTACCACCTCCTTTTACGTGTCCTGGGGTGAGGGTGTCTGTGGCCCACTGGGGCCGGAGGCCAGCTGGTGTTCAACAGTAGCCCCAGGACCTTGTACAGGCCAGCGCTGGCTCCACAGGCTGAACCCACAGGGAAGCTCCCTGACCCGGGTGGCCTTGGAGCTCACGGTGAATCAGCCTCCATGTGTGCCTGGGCTGGGATGTACACCTCACTTGGAGTTCAACCACCAGAGAACGTTTCATGTTTGAAAAATGAAAACTATTTTGTGTAAATAAAAGTTTGAAAAGCCAAGAATACACAAGTTTTTTTTTCCTTGCTCTGATCCCAAAGGGTCAGCTGGGTGAGTTCCTAGCTGGCTTCATCTGTCTATGGGGGCCTTAGGCTTTCCAGTAAATCCTGTCTCGCCTCACCCCAAGGGGTGCTTACTTAAGTGATCCTGTCCCTTTTACAAGAGCAGATGGAGGCCCTGTGCCAAGGACTTTTCTAGTTCTCTAGTTGCTTCTGCGGGGAAGGTTGGTCTGTCCATCTGCTTATTTCTGTTTGCCTGAACAGGGTCTTGAACTCTGGTTCTTATGTGCCCTTGGCTGCCATTCTACCATTTGATTCATGCCTACAGTCTAGCATTTTGCCAGTTAGAGGTGAAAGCCAGGCACCAGTGCCTCATGCCTATAATCTTACTCAGGAGGCTGAGCCGTGAGGCTCACAGCTCAAAGCCAGCTCAGACAGGAATGTCCATGGGACTCTTATCTTCAATTAGTGGAGCTGTGGCTCAAGTGGTAGACTGCTAGCCTTGAGCAGAAAAGCTCAGGGACCAGCACCAAAAAAGGATGGAAATGACATCTCAGATTTTTCTGCCCAAGCTGGCTTCAAACTTTAATCCCTCAGATCTCAGCCTCCTAAGTAATTACAGGCGTGAGCTACTGGCACCTGGTTCAATTGTTCTTTTTAATAACCATGTGTGTGGGTGTTTGTGTGTGGGTGTGGATGTGGGTGAGAGAGAGAGACAGACTATGTCATGTAGCCCAGGCAGGACTGAGAATTCTAGGCTGGTGCTGGTGTGACTGAGTTAGGTTCCCTGTGGGTGAACCACACTGTGGACAGAGGGTGCTGTGCATGTCCATCAGTCCATGGCTGCTTATCCTGTCCCCACCTGGCTGCTCTTCATAGTACTGCCATGAACATCCGTGTGCTAGCTGTTTTCTCTTTTTTCCTCTCATTCTGGGGATGGGTCCCAGGCTTCCCTCACATGTAAGCACTAGGTAAGCATTCCGCCACTGAGCTCTTCCACCAACCTTATTCCTATTTGACATGGAACATCTTCATTTCTTTTGGGTACACACCAGGCGTGGGTGGCGTATTTGAGGCATGCCAGGCTCACGTGGCATGCACTGTTGGCCTACCAGGCCTATACCGATATCTGCTGAATGTGGTTGGTTACGTCTTAGGAAGGAGGTGTATTGTGGCTTCAAGTTGCTTTTCCCAGATTGAGCTGGAGGAAGTGGAGGTGTAGCTCAAGTATTAAGAGTATCAATCGAGTGAAAAAGCCAAGTGAGAACATGAGGCCCTACATTCAAACTCCAGTTCCTAGAGGGGAAAGAAAAGACAAGATTTGGCTCAACAATAGTTTACCTGTCCAGCAAGTGTGAGAGGCCCCAATATCACCAGATCAATAAGATTTTGGAAAGCATGTATCTGGTGACATAATATCTATAAATGTTTTTTAAAAACTATGATTCAATAATAAAGACAGCTAGGCATAGTGATGCATGCCTGTAACCTTAGTTATTCAAGTTGAGGGTAAGAGAATAGAATTCACCGGTGTGGGTTCCATAGCAAGAAAAAATACAAAGACCAGCAATCCAATTAATCAATAGGTAGAGAATACAGATATGTGGGTGGGGAATGTGGCTTAGTGGTAGAGTACTCGCCTAGATGTATGAAGCCCTAGGTTCGATTCCTCAGTATCACATAAAGAGAAAAAAGCCAGAAGTGGTACATGGCTCAAGTGAGAGAGTACTAGCCTTGAGCAAAGAAGTTCAGCAACAAGGCTCAGGCCCTGAGTTCAAGCCCCAGGACTTGCAAAATAAATGCAGAGATGGCTGGGCACTGGTGCTCACATCTGTAATCGTAACCTCAGGAGGCTGAGATCTTCAGATTGCAGTTCAAAGTCAGCCTGGGCAGGAAAGACCGTGAGGCTCTTTATCTCCCAACTACTAAAAAGCAGGAAGTGGCACTATGGCTCAAAAGCTATAATACTTAACCTTAAGTGAGCAAAAGAACTTAGGGACAGGGCTCAGGCCCTGAATTCAAGCCCCATGATTAACAAAAAAGCCTGTTTCAAAACCAAAATATGAGCTGAGATGACTCAGAGGTAGAGGATCTGCATTCATCTCTGTCACACACACACACACACACACACACACACACACAAAAAGCTTCAAAGCCCTGTTTACAAGAAGCACAAGGTTCTAGTGGCTTTCTCGTGACATTTACTGTGTGAGTAAGCACAGTTCCATTTCCTTAATTCTTGTGACCTCTCAAAAAACATAAATTGAGCTGAGGTTGTGACTCAGTGGTGGCCACACTTAGTATGCACAAGGTCCTTGGTTTCTATCCCTAGCACAAGAAAAAACTGTAGATTGGGGATCAACAAATTTGTGTGTGTGTGTGGTTTTTTGTTTTTGTTTTTTTTTGTGTGTGTTTGGTGGGGAGCTTGAACTCACGGCCTAGTCACTGTCCCTGAGGTCTTTTGCTTGCTCAAGACTAGTACTGCTACCTATGACTTGAGCCATAGTGCTGTTTCCTGCATTTTAGTAGTTAGTTGGCAGTAAGAGCCTCACGGACTTTCCTGCTTGGCTTGGCTTTGAACCACAGTCCTTCTATCTCGGCATCCTGGGTAGCTAGGATTACAAGTGTGAGCCACCAATGCCTGGCTCTGTGTGGGGAGGGGTGTGGGTGGGTGTGGGTATGTTGGAACTGGGATTTGAACTCAGGGCTTGGGTACACTGTCACTTGCCTTTTTCACTCAAGGTTTGTATTTACCACCGCTCCATTAAGCCTAGCTTAACCAATTATGGATTTTTGTTTTTCCAGTCCTAGGGCTTGAACTCAGGGCTGGGCGCTGCCGCTGAGCCTCTTTTGCTCAAGGCTAGCACTCTACCACTTCTGGCTTTTTCTGTGTATGTGGTACTAAGGAATCAAACCCAGGCTTCATACATGCTAGGCAAGCACTCTTACCACTGAGCCACATATCTAGCCCTGTTGTTTTCTTTTTCTTTTGGTAAAGAACCAGACAGTATTTTCAACTTCACATGTGAGACAGTGTGTGACACATTTCCTCAACTCTGCTTGTGGCATGAAAGTGACCACAGGCAACTTGCAGGCACCAAGACCTGGCTGAGCGCCAGGTGTCTGTTTACCCAGAGAGCCGGGCTCTCTGCAGCATGCTGGCTGTGCATCTCCTCACCCCCTCCCAAGGCTGCTCCTCTGGTCTTCCCAAGGAGTATCAGGTTGCTTATCTGGGCCTGAGGGCTACGGCTTCACAGGAAGAGACTAGCAAAGCCAGGGCCTGCAGGCAGTTATCTTCAGCAGCCATGAATCCCGCCAGCTTTCCCTGCCTGTAACAGCCCCTAGGCCCATCCCTTGGGTTAAGACTGGTCCAAGGGACAGGAACCTATGCTTAGCCTGAGGCTCCCAGCTGAATGTGTGAGAGTGTAGCTGAGTATCGAGTGCTGCATAGCCTGCAAAGGCTTTGGGCCTGTCCCCCAAAAAATCTGAAGGCAAGTGTCAGTGTACATCATGCCTATGATTCTAGCTACTCTGGAGTTAGATCTGGAGATCTGTGGTTAAGAGCCAGCCCAGAGAAAAACAGTCTGTGAAATTCCATCTCAAAAATAACTAGGCAGCCAGGCACTGGTGGCTCCCACCTGTAATCCTAGCTACTCAGAAGGCTGAGATCTAAGGATCGCAGTTCAAAGCCAGCCCAGGCAGGAAAGCCCGTGAGACTCTTATCTGTAATACAACCACCAGAAAACTGGAAGTTGTCCTGTGGCTCAAATGTTAGAGTGCTAGCCTTGAGATGAAGAGCTGAAGGACAGTGCCCAGACCCAGAGTTCAAGCCCCCTGACTGACAAATAAGGTGGGCACTGGTGCCTCACACCTGTAATTTTAGCTATTCAAGAGGCTGAAATCTGGATTGTGGTTCGAAGCCAGCCTGGTCAGGAAAGTCTAAGACTCCAGTTAACCACCAGAAAGCTAGAAGTGGATCAATGCGTGACTTAAGTGGTAGACTGCTAGCCTTAGAAAAAAAAAAAAAATTTAGCAGCAGTGCACCAGTAGCTCATGCTTGTAATTCTAGCTACTCATGTTGAGACCTGGAGGATCCCAGTTCAAAGCCAGCCCAAGCAGAAAATTCATGGGACTTATTGCCAACTAACCAGCAAAAATCTGGAAGTTCTATGATTCAGGCAGTAGAGCACCAACCTTGAGCTTTGAAAGTCAAGTGGGAAGGGGATGCCCTAAGTTCAAACTCCAATACTAGCAATTTTTTTTTTAATTGCAGTGTCCAGTTCTACATTGGCAATGATTCTAGCCCTTGGTGTCCAAAGACCTGACACAGGGACCCCATAGCTGGAGAACATACGCTGCACACAAATGGACAGTTCCACCGCACAGTCCCAAACTGTGAGTCAGGAAGCAGTCATCTGACAGCCATGTGGGCTTGTCACCTCCCGGGGACAGTGGCAGGGATTTGTGCCCCACAACCCTGGGCTTTGAGGAAGTGAAGACACTGCCATAGCCGCCTCCCCATTGTCCCCCGCACTGGCCTCCGCCCCAGGCTGCCACTGTCACAGAAAACAGACAAGATTTTAAAACTTTATTGTAAGCAAAATAGATGTGTGTCAGAGAACTACAGAGTGACCTGTAAGCGATTTTGCAGTGTTCCTAACCCCAGGTGTCCAAACCAGCCCTGCAGCTGCATCTGCTGGCTCAGCCTCCATCTCCAGCCCCACAGCGCCCAGCATGGGCACCCCCTCAAGGCACTGCATTTCCCCAAGACTACAGCAAGAAGAGGCTACGATGGGTTCTGCACCCCCAGAAAGTAGGAGGCGGGGTGGAGGGAGTTCTCTGGGTGTGTCCACCCAAGCTTGTGGTACAAGTAAGAAAGCCAAGACTTCACCCAAGAGCAAAGACTTGCCCAGCTGAGCCAGGGCCAGCTTGGGTGTGGAGAAGACACAGGTGCCTTCCACAGGTCCACTGTCCCCTGTGTTGCCGGAAGCTTCTGGGAGGA